GCAGCCAAGCTTTGCAATGTGACTTCAGGCTTGCAGGGTATGATGTTACTCCTCTAATTTCAACTATCTTACGATAAGTACCTAGGTATGTATATACGTATATACAGGTCACCGCATTACCACACTCTGACCTTGCGTCTTCATACCAGGAGAGACCCTATCTAGACCCTAAGGAGGCTGACTGGTTAGTCTTTTTTTACTGGAGCGACTCCACCACCAGAGCGCTGGCGCCGCCGCCTCCATTGCAAATACCGGCACATCCAAGCTTGCCCTTCTTGGCCTTCAAAACACCAAGCAAGGTCGTCAGAATGCGTGCTCCACTAGCTCCAAGGGGATGGCCGATGGCAACAGCACCGCCGTGAATGTTGACCTTGTCCTCTGAGAGACCAAGCAACTTGATGTTTGCAAGGGCAACCACGCTGAATGCCTCGTTGATTTCAAACGCATCAATGTCATCCAGAGATAAGCCGGCTTTCTTGAGCGCCTTGGGAATCGCAAGTGAGGGAGAAGTGGTGAACTTGTTAGGTGCTTGAGCGGCGTCCGCCCAACTGAGGATCTTGGCAATAGGCTTCAGGTTAAGCTCCTTCAATTTTGCCTCCGAAACGAGGACAACAGCGGCAGCGCCATCGTTCAGTGGCGACGAATTTGGTGCAGTGACCGTTCCAGTGCCAGGAATGAAGGCGGGCTTGATCGTTCGCAGTTTTTCGGGATTGAGCTGTCAACGAATCCGATTAGTTGTGAGTCTCACAAGCAGGACTTTCCATAAACGGGGAGAGGTGGCTTCTGTCTCACATTCTTCGGCTCCTCATCCTGTGAAACTGTCACACCGGGTTTTCCTCTGATGCCCGGGAGCTCAATGGGCGCAATCTCTTCATCAAAAAGGCCGGCCTTCTGGGCAGCTTGAGCACGCTGATATGTACGGATTGCATAGTCGTCCTGTTGCTCACGGTTGAATCCATGATCCTGAGCACACTCCTCGGCTTGCAGGCCCATGAGCTCCTGCTTCCCGTAGGCATCTGTAAGACCATCTTTCATGACCCCGTCCACAAGAGTCTGATGACCGTACTTGGCCCCAGTCCGCAAGTTGGGGATATAATGAGGAGTGTTCGACATCGACTCAGTGCCGCCAGCGACAACAACGTCGGCGCCGCCAGTCAAGATAGTCTGAGCGCCCAGAATAACCGCCTTCAAGCCAGAGGCGCAGACTTTGTTGACGGTTGTGCAAATTGTGGACTCTGGGAGACCAGCGCCAATGGCAGCTTGTCTGGCAGGATTCTGTCCAAGACTGGCAAGCAGAAAAAGCGTTAGCATTCAGGGTGACGTGTGGGGTTAGGGAGGGTCAAAATGGGGTTAAAAGCGTACTTTGCAGAGAGGACATTACCAAAAAAGACTTCATCAACATCAGCTGGCTTGATACCTTGAGCCCTTTCGACAGCAGCTGCATTTTCGAGTAATCACATCAGCCTTTTCTGCAGACGCGTCATGCGGAAGCGTGCCACACCTTTAATCGCATGAGAACCAAGCTGAGTGGCAGAGAGGCTAGAAAGTGAGCTGCGAAGGTATGAAGGTCAGTTCGAGGCTGCGAGATACCAACGTGGCTTTGCGAAATTCTTTACCCCAGAAAGGAGCCAACAGGCGTCCGGGCAGAAGAGACAATGTAAACTGGAGGGAGGGAAGACATAGCGGTGTAAATTAATCAGTAGCGGGGCAGGCCTGAATTGTTGCAAGGGTGAGAGTGAAAGTGAGTATGCCCTTAAGGAGACGGGAAGGGAACTTGATGACTTAGGTTGGTCCCTAAGACCTCAAGAAGACGCGAAGGACTGCTGCGGGAGAGAAGGAATTGAATATTAATCACGAAGTGCGAGCGTACGTACGCTTAGAACGTTTAGGAGGGGTGCTGCTGCCGCCAGTCGTGGAGCGGTGTAATTAGTTCGATTTTCCGACCAGGGAGGGACAACAAGCCCAGCCTAGCTATTGGCCGGAACGGAGCTTGTGAAAGAGTTTTGAGCAACCGCCTAACATTATTGCGACAAGAAATGTACAACTCGTTAAGATAGCTCTCTGGAAAGCGTTGCTCCACAGCGCAACATCATGGACGACCTTTATGATGAGTATGTTGTCAAGTCCTCCCATTGATCAATCCCCAAAAATCTGCAACACATGTGGCTAATCTTTTCATTGTTCTAGGTTTGGCAACTACATCGGAGAAGCTGGTGAATCGGAAGAGGAATCACAGCATGGAGATGTCCCGGCGCAGGCTTACACCTATGATGAGTTTGAGGAGGAGGAGGAGCAGGAGCAGGAGAATGTCGCCCATGAACAACAGTTGATGGAAGTTGACGGTCGGTGTGCTCCCATGTTTTGTAGTAATTGGCGTCGACTGACGATTTTATGCAGAAGGTCCTTCCAATGCTGTTGTTCTCCACGAAGACAAACAATACTATCCAAGCGCGCAGCAAGTATATGGAACTGAGGTTGAGACGTTGGTTCAAGAGGAGGACACTCAACCGCTTTCGGAACCGATCATCAAGCCTGTGCAACAGAAGAAATTTGCGATCCAGGAAGCCGATCTGCCCCCTGTTTTCTATTCGCGCGAGTTTATGACCGATTTGCTTAACTTTCCAGATCAGATCAGAAATATTGCATTTGCGGGTCACCTACACCACGGGAAGACTGCCTTAATGGACATGTTGGTGATGCAGACCCATGATCTCAGTGAACGACTAGCGAAGAGAACAGGCAAACGGAGAGACGAGCAGCTGCGCTACACCGACGTGCACGTCCTGGAGCGAGAACGTGGGTTGTCGATAAAATCAGCGCCAATGAGCTTGGTCCTCCAAGGGACCAAGGGAAAGTCGCACCTGTTCAATATCCTGGACACTCCAGGGCACGTAAACTTTGTCGACGAGGTCGCTGCATCGCTACGATTGGTGGATGGCGTGGTCCTTGTTGTGGACGTGGTCGAAGGCGTTCAAGCAAACACCGAGCAAATCATCAGATATGCAGTGCTAGAAGATCTTCCTCTGACGCTGGTGGTGAACAAGATGGATAGGCTCATTCTTGAACTGAAGCTACCTCCAAATGATGCATATTTCAAGTTAAAGCATGTTATTGAGGAAGTTAATTCTGTGATTGAGAAAGCTATCCCTGGCCAGGGAGAGAGCAGACGCCTGAGCCCGGAAAAAGGCAATGTCGCTTTTGCCTGTAGCTCGATGGGCTGGTGTTTTACCCTACCGTCTTTCGCCAAGATGTACGCCGAGAGCCATCCCAAGCTTGATGCGGCCGAATTCGCACCGCGGTTATGGGGCGATATATTCTTCAACCCCAGGAGTCGCAAATTCACGCGGAAGGGAATAGAGGAAGGATCAAAGCGGACATTTGTCAGCTTTGTCCTGGAGCCGATCTATAAGCTTTATTCTCACACCATCAGCGAGAGCCCAGAAGATCTGAAAGAAACATTGGCGACTTTGAACATTTATCTGAAACCTTCGCAGCTCAAGTCAGACGCCAAGGTGTTACTTAACCTGGTTTGTGAGCAATTTTTTGGCCCGGCAACAGGTTTCGTGGACATGGTCGTCCAGCACATCCCATCTCCAGTAGAGGGTGCTCAGAAGAAATTGGAGCGATACTATACGGGCCCATTGGATACCAATGTAGCCAGAGCCATGGCGGCTTGCGACCAAGATGGGCCCCTGGTGATTCAGGTCACGAAGCTCTTCAGCAGCGTGGACGCTGCAAAGTTCAATGCATTTGGGAGAATTTTGAGTGGTACAGCTCGACCAGGTCAGCAGGTCCGTGTGTTAGGAGAGGGCTATACCATTGATGATGAGGAGGATATGGTTATTGCTACCATCTCTGACACATGGATTGCCGAGACACGCTATAACATCCCGACTGACGGAGTGCCTGCGGGCAATTGGGTGCTTTTGGGTGGTGTGGACAATTCGATCGTCAAGACCGCAACGCTTGTCCCACTCAAATTAGACAATGACGAAGATGCCTACATCTTCAAACCGATCAAGCATATGACCGAGTCGGTATTCAAAGTCGCGGTGGAACCTATCAATCCCTCTGAACTTCCCAAGATGCTTGAGGGTCTACGAAAAATCAATAAGAGCTATCCTCTGATCTCCACGAAGGTGGAAGAGTCCGGAGAACATGTCATCCTGGGGACCGGAGAGCTCTACATGGACTGTGTGCTGCACGATCTCCGCAAGCTGTACGCAGAGATGGAACTGAAAGTCTCAGACCCGGTGACCAGGTTCTGCGAGACGGTAGTTGAGACGTCCGCAATCATGTGTTATTCTATTACGCCGAACAAGAAGAACAAAATAACCATGATCGCGGAGCCCTTGGATGACGGCATTGCCGAAGACATCGAAAGCGGCCGTGTCAGCATCAAGGATCCAATACGCAAAGTTGCCCAGTTCTTTGAAGAAAAGTATGACTGGGACAAGTTAGCTGCCCGAAGCATCTGGGCATTTGGTCCGGATGAGACGGGACCGAATATCCTCCAGGATGATACACTGCCATCGCAGGTGGACAAGAAGCTTCTCGGGACTGTGAGGGATTCAATTGTTCAAGGTTTCAGTTGGGGCACAAGAGAAGGTCCCCTGTGTGAAGAGCGTACGTGTACAGCCCTACCTTTCTACTCTGCCTTCTCTTTGAACTGTTTACTAGGACTACGGTTACCATGGTTCTGTCGAATTTTTTTTCTTTTGTTCTCTCCTTTCAATTACTCTTCGAAGACAAAGCTAACTGTGATCTCCAGCTATCCGAAACTCGAAATTTAGACTCACGGATGTGACCCTTGCTGATCAAGCCATATACAGGGGAGGGGGACAAATCATTCCCACTGCCCGCCGTGCCGTCTACTCATCTTTTCTCATGGCATCACCTCGACTAATGGAACCCATCTATTCGTGTGAAGTTCTTGGACCAGCAGACGCTGTATCATCGGTTTATACAGTCCTCTCACGCCGACGAGGCCATGTTCTTTCAGATGGACCCATTGCCGGAACACCCCTCTACTCAGTGCGGGGCTTAATACCGGTCATAGACTCTTTCGGCTTCGAAACGGATCTGCGAATCCACACTCAAGGCCAAGCTACCGTAAGCTTGGTATTTGACAAATGGAGTGTCGTTCCAGGAGATCCACTTGATCGAGAAGTTAAGCTTCGACCCTTGGAGATGGCGAGCGCGCAGGCCACGGCAAGAGATTTCGTGCTCAAGACAAGGAGGAGGAAGGGTTTGGCGGAAGATGTGACCGTCAGCAAATTTCTGGAGCCAGAACTTTGGAAAGGACTCAAGGAAAGTGGTGTTCTAGAAGGGTGATCGTTTTTCTCTCCTTGTTCTTGTGTTGGTTTTTTCTTTTTGTTCGGCGGGTCTAGGGCGGCCATAATGACTGATTCAAAATTGTCTGCTTTCCATGAACGGTACTTGTTTGAAATATATTGCGGTCACAAGCGGAGTAAACGGATGCATGGCAGAAGTTATGTCGCCGATTTTGTCGGGACGTTTTAAGAGATGGTGGAAGAAGCAGATATTAGCTTCTTAATATCCCAAACTGAAGAGCGGTGGCGGGCATTGCCGTTTGGGGAGTTCGAAAATGAAGGATTTCGTCGTGTACTTTATCCTAGCAGTCGGTCCGATCACTGGCATGTTTCTAGCATCTTTCCGATAACGCCCATCAACGTTCCGTTCTCCAAGGCTGCCGCTACTCTCTCTTTGTCTGCCAATTGTTTATTCACTTCCTCGGCCGTGCTATGTGTTCCCTCCTTTATGCGGACATCGACACGGAATCGAGGTGGAAGGGACTGTTCTAAGCGGACTCGTACACCGAGACCTATCACCGTGGCCAGGCTGCAATGCGTGATGGTCGGTGTGATAAGAACAGTGACGATTCGAAGAGGAGATTGCGGATTGTTGGGTAAGGAGGGCGTGATAGATATGTCAGGAAGTGAGACGACAGCAAGAGATCCTAGAGATATCGGATGTTCTGGGTCTGATATCCCGGAAATAAGATCTGGCCATAGCTTAGTAGGGGAAAGTAAGATTCAGGTTGGCCACCTGGAATTTCATATATTCTGGTAAAGGGATTTTGAAAATGGAGGGCTAAACCATACCGAAAATCTCCTGCTCATCTATCGGTTCTTCTAACAAGTTCTCATCATCATTTTCTGATTCTCCAGAACTGTAGATGTCGACAGCGAAGGGATCGCTCAAATTTGCCGAGACCGCATTGCCGAATATGCTGCCGTCATACGATTCACCGCGAGCAGACTTGGGTCTTTGGCGAGTTGGGAGGTCAGCTGCATTTAGAATCGTTGGGTTTAAGTTTTGCATTTCAGACGGCATGGTGAAACTGTGTCAAGTTGCCCCGGAAGGCCAATTAATTACTAGACAAAATGCTTTTGTTCCGACGGCGGTGACCATGATGATTAATTTGATGGATTGCGATCTTGGGATAACTAGAGGGGTATGCTGACTCAGCGTTGAGTCACGTGAGCCCCGCTGCCGCCGTCATCGAAGTCCGGAGGTACGTATGTACAGTATCTATCTACGTAGATCAAATAGGAACCAGGTACGGAGTATGTAACAAATATACTGCATCCATGCATGCATAAGTACTATAACCTATAACAAGATTCCTAAGACCGGTCCGGAAGGCAAAGTATTAATGGCATCGGAGGAACTTGGATACCATCTCTCAGAAGACCGGCCACCTGAACAGGAGGATCATTAACCTCTATAAAATAAAATATGCAGAATATGTTTCTGTTGGATGCCAACTACCGAGACGGATTCGCCATAAAAACCAATTGGGCAATCATCACGTATGCCTCATTGAACATAGGTCTCAAGGTGTTCAAATGTCACATGCGCCAACGGACAGGTGAACAGTTTAATGCCCTCGGCATTGGGGTCTGCGCAGCAATCCATCCATGTACAGTACATACATACACGTTTCAAAGTCCGTGCTCTAGTTCCCCAGCACATACGGGCGTACGGAGGACAGCGAAGGAGAACCGGTCTAGTCTTCTGGAGGGAATTGCCGCAATTTTCGATGCCTTAGACTGGGGAGGCAGGCAGGCGGAGTGATGGGGAAAGGAGGGTGTGGCTGCACCCACACTTTCTGGTCGCCGACAACGTTTCGCCTGTTGGTCATCTGTGGCAGAATATAAGAAGAGTGCAGAGACTGTGGCAAGGAAATGCATCCAGACTTGGAGGAGTTTAGGTGCCTGGGCGTACGGCGCCCCCTGTCAGAGAGATCGACGGAGGATCAACAGCCTGCTCCGTAAAACGTAGCTAGTAATAATGAGCGATAACCAAAGAACTAGCAACCAAGACCTGCGTCCGCCGCCACTGCCTTGCCTTAGATTGTCCCGATTCCCCAGATCACAGTCCGCCAGCCAGACGCACACTGTGGGCCGCTAAACGGGCTCCTGCTGCCATGCTGGAAGGCCGCTCTCTAACTCGATTCGTCCTTCCTCCTAGTTCCCCCCTCTGGAGGCGAGGTCGTCACTTGCTTGTCCCCCACTTGGCCTGGCGCTTCCGGCTCCATCTTGACTGCTCGATCCCCCATCAGCACTGCCATTCTTCGGGCGCACTGCGTGGGCTGACGCCATATTCCTTGTAGCCAGCAGATGTGGTATCGGAGTCTACAAGGGATCAAGAAACCTCCAACGGCATTCGTCCTTTTGGCGCTCTTCGATCGTTGCTCGGAGGTCCGGACGTAACTGGCCTAATTGCGCACGCGAGGTCGATCTTCGAAGACGCATCGCCTGGATCCTCGTGTGCGATCCTTTAGCACCGTGCGACTTGGAATGTGTTGTCGCGGGAATCAATGACTCGACACTGTGAGGCGTCCATTGGTCGGGTGCTGTATGCAATTCTGAATTCTGCCACAGAACGACTTACTGACGACAAGCCTTATACAGATCTCCGAAAGTCCATATTAATTATATTCCCGGATCACCAGGGTTCTGAGACCGTCCTCTATCCCCTAGGGTCACCTCTTTTATGTCTCTTTTTATTCCTCTTCTCACTCAGAAACTCCATCTCTCCCACTACTTACGCGACCACATTACTTCCCTAGGGTCAGATCAGATCCATTGCTTGTTGCTGGCTTTCAGGCTTACTATGTCGATCTGAAGAATCTGGGACCATATCGAACTCAGCGTCTGCACGGTCAACTTTTTGTTCACATCGAGCAATCCACGACGTACTTATATCTCAACTGTGCTTCTAGATTTCCATTGACATCGCGGTGATTTAACCTGGATCTAATGGCTACTCTCCGATTGTGGAAATTTTAAGCGCTCGAGCAACGGTCATCTTCTATCAAGGTTTTGCTGTGGAAAGTCTGCTTTTTGCAGCCCCCCTGCACATATAGGCCACGGCACGCATAGGAACGCTGAACGTGATATTCGGTCTCCTTTTCTCCTGGCGACTTCGGAAAGAAGGTGCGTTGCGCAACAACAAATAAACGTCCTTGTGCTTTCTCTCTGGACGACATTTCTCCTCAAGGACGCGGACGCATTGTACTTCCCAGCCGTGCATTGACTGCAGCTCTGGGATATCGAGTCTCTGTTCACACAAACCTCAGCGGGGGTGCAGGTTCCGGACGGGCATGCCTATGGGGGCTCTTCATCCGATATTGGTCTTGCACCGCTTCGGTCTCTACAAGGGCCGTCTATCCTGTCAATCTTGAATTACGCTTAAGCTTTTTCACGAAAAATCATTTCTGTCTCGAGGCGGGCCTCGGACGCAACAGTCATCCGGTTACTGTCTCTTACAATTCCGAGTGTCTCTGCGAATACTCCGATCCAGGTGTATTCAAAGATTAACAATGCAGGGCTATTCTTACACGACATCATCTGGGCCTCCTCGGGAAGGGCAGAAAAGTAAGCTTTCAATGCCACAGAATCGATTGGTCCCTTCTTCCGATCTCGTGCCTCTCTCGTTGCTCCGCAGCTACTAACACTCTTAAACAGATTATGTCTTTGTTGACGAGCATAATAGGCATAAGCGGCTGAAAGGTATGCAGTGAACCCTTGTGCCTGGTAATGGTTGAACGTTCAGCTCTGAACATTAGTATAATCGTCATACAGTTATGCGAGCTTGTAATGGCTGCCGGAAACGAAAGATAAAGTGTGATGCAGCTACGACAAATACTTGGCCATGCTCAGCGTGCACGCGTCTGAAGCTAGTCTGCATCCCTCCCACAATCGGACAAGATAGCGACTATCCTGGTCCGGGGCAAGGTAGTGAGACTGATTCTGCTGGATATACGGATACATCGAAACAACCAGATCCTCTACACCATGGCCTTCCCATTCAGCAGGACTTTGTAGGCGGGAATCCCCATGCTACAGGAAACATGGGCACGTACTCCAGTGGAGTTGGGATGTATTCATCCTACGTACCACAGTCACACAATCAACATGGAGTATATGGCGAGGCACAACCTCCTCAGATTGCAGTCTCGCATCATTCGTTTCAACAGCCTGTTTTTTCAGACGGCCCTTCTCAAACGCTTGCGAGTGCGGACAGTGGTATATTCGTCGAACAGGACCAATCAACTGCTGAAGGCCTGAGTGAGGCGCTTGGCGAGCTGAAAATTGACGAAACTGGTATTGGTAAGGATTCTCCTGACGGCGGCGAAATGTTACTTACTGTGAAGATACCTATTATACTAACCTCTAGCGTAGCACCCTATATCAGGCAAGAGAAGCAGCGAATGAAGGAACCGGAAGCCCCGGTTCAAGACGAGCTTGACGAGAAACTGCCGCCGCTCAGTACAGAGGCAGGTTCGACGGTTCGAATTCCCCCGGAACTTATGCCCTCCAACGAAGAGGCCATGAACTATTTCAGGATTTTTTTCTCGGATATACACCCTTATGTCCCTGTCGTTCACCGTTCCCATTTGTATCAACAATGGCGGAATGATCGGGCTGCGATCTCCCCATTGTTACTCGAAGCTTTGTTCGCCTGCGCGGGGAGGATGTCAGATGATCCTGCTCAGGGTGCACAGTGGCTCGCGCTTGCAAACCGTGAGTACTTGGATTGAGCAGTCGCGAGTTCCTTTCACTAATCTGAGCTTTGAATATTTAGGGCACGAGTCAAGTTTCATGGACGTGCCTCGTTTGAGCACCATTCAAGCATTACTTTTGCTGCTCAAAGCACGAGAATCTGCACCAAAAAAGGGCTATTACTATCGTTCTTGGCAAACCGTAAAGACGATTATTTCAATGGCCAAAGACCTTGACATTCACGAGCATTATAGTATCCATAAGGAAGGCAAATCTTGCAATATAGATCCTGTAGAATGCCTGGTCCAAACGAGGGTGTGGCAAACACTTTTGGTTGTTGAAGTGATGATTGGAGGTCCTCAAGGTTTGCAGAGATTGCCTCCCCCCTCTCCTTCAATGTTGGGTCATGAGGAATCTAACATATTCACAGGGCGTTCGGATTACGAAGTCGATCCTGAGACTGTGGATATGAGGCCAAAATTGGACATTCCAGGCCTTGATCAATTCGAGGCCGACCGATCTCGACAGTTTTCTTATTTTGTTCGAAATGCATATCATATCCGTATTTACACGGAACTTTATCATAAAATCAAGAAACAAAAGGACTGGGGAGCTGATCCTCGCTTTGCCGAAAATAATCCACTCTTCAGTGACTGGCTCCGCAGCCTTCCTCCTGATCTGCAGGTACACTACCCTGAGGATGGATCTCCACCTTGGCTGCCTTCGCATTTTGTCGGCAATATGCATTCCCATTGCCACTTGGGTATTATAATGCTCCATCGCCCACAGCTCCTTGCGTCGAAATCCTTTGCTCCGGGAGGTGAATGGAAGACTCATATGTCTTTGTGCTATTCATCTGCAAAATGTCTATGTCGGTTACAAGAGGCAATCCTCGCTCGTTTTGGGTTACCTGGTCTGCTTTACATGCAACGGGGCATTAATTTTACGATATATGCCATCTTAACATGCACGATGTTGCATCTGGTGAGTGAGATACACGAGGCTTTGGGGTTGACAAGACGATTACTGAAACTGCTTCATAAGATCGCGATTACTTCACCAGATCCTGACTTTCACTCCGATGCGCGCGACTATTTCACTCGGCACATGCGCATACTTGAGCAGTGTTCTTCTAGTTGGCCACTTCCGGAGATACAGGCACAGATCGACTCTTTGAGGCTCGCGTTTTCTGCTGACATCAACCGCCCATTTGAACTCAAACCCACCTTTCCATACGGAAGCCCCTCAGAGCAATATCATCCAAGTCCACCGCCGCTTGATGCACAATACAACTCTCACTTCAGCCAGCCTCAAGCTCCCTCTCCTAGTCGACTGGGCTACAGCGCACATCCCATCACTCCGCCTATCTCTGCCGGAGCTGAGGATTCCAAGCCTGAGTCTCCTCAGCTGCAGACATCAGGCATGGTACAACAAAATCCGCCAAATCATCCAGTGGGCGTTCCTCTAGTAGATGAAAACAGCTGGGATCCCACTCGGATTATTAAGTATGAGAGCCTCCTACATAAAATAATCAATATATTTGCTAACGTGTGTGAAGCCAATGGGACATGGCTTTTTCTGTGATCCCGTCTAACGCCAGTACGAACTCGCCACCTATGGGCTTTAACACTGCAGGCCAAACTATCGTCGATACCATGCCGAATCAATATTCCATGCAATATGCAGCTGCGGGGAAGATGGCGTCAATGGCTGCGACGCAGTCTGCATCTCAACAGACGTTCAGTACGCAGCCGATTGTTATGACTGCACGAGACTGGCAGCAAAGCGTTGCTAGCGTATACGATCCGCATGGGCTGAAGCGCAGATGGAATTATTCGGTAGACATGTCATCGGAGAATGCCTCCAAAAGGGCACGATGAACTCTATGGGAGCGTGGCAGCAGACGCCAGAACTGCCGAAGTCTATCGTCCCACACAAGCGGATTTTATGTAAAAGTGACTTTGTTCCTGCGCATCTTTTCCTGCTTCTCGTCTCCACCTCTGTCCTACTATCATACGAGGTCCTTCAAACCTCCTTTTTTGGATTTACAGTGCTATGGCGGGCAATCTTTATTGCCATAGTCCAGGCTCTGTTTGAGAGATGCTCTAGAGTTTGATACTTTCCGTTTGTACTGTTCATGTGCTGCGATGATATTTAACTTGATTTTTGGGGCCTACTGGCGGGCGTGGATCACGTTGTCTTGTCTACATTTGAATCGCAAATTACATGTATGTACTACGATCTACCATACTTGGATGTGAATAGGGCTTGGATGTAATTTTGGGAATGCACTGCGAATATGAGCAATGAATTCATCTGTCCTTTAAGTCTGGTTGTTGAATTATCCTGAGACGTTTCACAATCTTCATGCAAATTGCCATTGGGTGCGAGAAAGATGATAGCGACTCGCTTCTTGCTTTGTGGGTATACGAATACCCATGTATCAACATCAAATAGAAAAAAGAGGACGACGAACGACACCCAAGTTTCCACGACAATCTACCATCATTAAGACGCAGTGAACATCACAATTAAAGGATAGAAGCCACAGCATGATATATTCAATTGTATGTTCTCAAAGTTGACGATTTAATTAGGGTCATAAGGCAGGTGAGTAAGACCAGATACGTTAAAATCCCAACTAAAAGTCCGAAAAAGGCGGCGGTATAGGGATCGTTCGCTTCATTATCGTTGAGCTCTATTAATTGAATCTTGTAAAAGGTCGAAAACATTATCTTCGTGGATCATTGGAAATTTTGAGAACAGCTCCCCAAGACCAAAGGATCCACCCCACTCGAGCTTCGCGCAATGTAGGAACTACGGCACCGCAGATAGTGGACAACTGAAAAAGAGGATAAATGTCATGAAGTCATAGTCATCCCAAAGGGAGACAGCAGGTTGAATAATTTGTTGAGGACACAGCTCGCCGATGTCGGGGCGGGAAAAGCGCTTCATGCGTTGAAGGAAATCGTGCATTTTCAAAGTTCATTGACTTGATAACAACCTAGTGCATTTCCATAGAACCTCAACCTCGTCGGCTGATTCCAATACGTTCATCACGGGACCGAACAATCCTCGCTTTATCCCCCGGCAAGGGTTTCAGTTCATCATTCGGATCAAATTTCTTGTTGCGATAGCTGCTACCAATAGCATCTTGACCGTTATTTTCCATTGATTTTTGGCGCAACCGCGCTTCCTCGAAAGCTGTCAAATCCTCTTGTGTTATTGTTATCGCGGTAGGTTTGCGACGAAGCATCGTGACTGTAGGGTATCAATTTTTTTTTGCCTTTTGACCTTGAAAACAAACAAAAAAAATAGAAGACAAACAGATGAAAGTTGAATTCGAACGGCTAACAGGAATGGTGATAGACGCGCAGTGACATGTTAAAGCTCTTAAACGCAAGCAAACGACTGTCATCCAATTAGGTCGGGCGGTGCCTGAGCTTGATCACGTGATGATTTAATTATCTGTTGAATTTGGTCGAACGCGCAAACCAGAACTCCGGAGGTTCATCTCACCAGGGCCGACTTACAGACAGTCTGGAACACCACGAAGATGATTCGGCCGGGTCGATCAAGACTCCTGAAAACAGCCCTCCATGATTGTCTCAGGCTCAGTGAGGGGCGAATTCCTTCTTCCCGCACGTTTTCTGTCACTTGCATCCGAAAAGATGATGGCGAGAATAAACCATTAGGTACGGATTCCACAACACCTATCTATATCTGATCCATCTGTTTCATGTGCTTACATTGATCCAGGAGAATACAAGAATTCAGGAGGTCCCAGTCGTCGCACTGCACAGAATCGCTCTTTGGTCGGATCGAAAACAAGGGCACTCAAAGGTGATACTGCATCTGCTCCACGTGTGATAGATGCAAGATCCCTGGCGGCTCCGCGTTCTGGAAATAATGCAAATATTCTTCGGGCGCCTAAGTTACAAAGACTTAGAACCTCTCAACTTGTACGGGCTCGCAGAACCAGGCCTTCTGGTCCGGCGGTAAATGCTAGGACTCGATCACCTAGCCAGCGGGAGCGACCTAAACGCACACGGAGACAGTCAGAGGAAGAAGAAGGGGACGAATCTCGGACAGCGGAAATAGAGGAAGTCTTCCGTGAGCAGGCAGAGAAGGAGAAGCCGTCACCCGTCCGTTATAATCCTGCCGAGTACGATATTTCCAGGCTCAGAGCAACCTGGCCCTCTTTACCAATTGGGGAAACAGGACGTGCTGGAAGTGTGTTGGAGAAACTGTCTTGGATGAGCAGTCGTTACCCTAATGGGTACGAACCGCCTCACGAACTCGCTAAGAGGCTGTTCAATGGAGAACGGGTTTTCTTCTCCAACGAACAAGAAAAGGAGCAAGTTATCCAGGAAGCTAAAAAACTGGCTCAAGAGCGGGCAGACAAATTAACACAACGGAAAGGGGATCTTGTTGAGCCTGAAGACACAAGCTTTGTACCGATCAGTCAAGATGACCGCGAAATGTTGGTTCGGGAGCTTGTCCAAGGGAAGTATACCTCCTTGGAGGCACAGGACGCAGGGAAACCATCCATTCTTGGGGAAGTACGAAGGAATCTTGAGAACAACGAGACATATCGGTCTGCTGGAAAGCAATCACAATTTCTAGACAAACTGGAATCACTCCTCGCCTCAGGTCAACGTGCCAAACGAACATGACCTTTTTCTACTAAGACTCGAGGCTTTTTGTCCTGAGAGAAGGATTTTTTCGCGTGTATTTTTCTCTTCTTGATGTTTAGGCATTTTTCTGTACCATAGCACCAGAGGAAGACCAGCTCATAAAATAATAAAAAACAACCTTTCTTGAACATTAACGTTTACATTATATGTCCAATAGCATGGGAAACCGGAGATAGTCCTATTGTACATTGAAATTCAGAACCAAAACCAAGTATTAACATAGGCTTTTTGCTACCCTCTTTTCTTCATGTTTGCTCAAATGCCTTCTTCGCGGCCTCGAATAAATCCTTGATCTCCTTCTGGCCTTTTTCCACTACCTTCTCCATTTGATCATGCGCTCTTCGGATATCGTCCGGCCGTGCCTCTTTGTTCTTCTGCATTTCCTGGAATCTTTTATGCAAGACGGCTCGCGAATTGCGAACTCCATTTACTGCACGTTCCATCGCAGCTTTAGCGGTCTTGATTGTCTGTTCTCGGGAATCCTTCGTCGGCGGAGGAATTGGAACATTGAGCTGCAAAGGATTGTGCGGATCAGGCTGCGGCGTCAGAGATAAATCAGAGGCAATAATAGCTGAATTGATCGGTTTTACGAGCTGCATATGTTACCAAACATTAGCAAGACTATTATGAGCTGCATGGGCCTTCTAGCTGAAGATTGCTCACAACAGAGCCAGTGAACCAAAACCGAGAATTATGAATTCCAATTCAGTAAACCGACAGCATATGGGGTGACAAAACTGGAGGTGGTTTAAACTCACGTCTTCCTCCCCAACGATTATAGCTACCGAGCGTCCTCCTTTCGGAACAACTTGCGCCAGCTCGCCCAGTTTCACCGTCTCTTTGCTACCCTTCACCAGATGGACACGAACGTTTTCGATAACTTCTGGGTTTAGTCTCCCGCCTGAACGAAGCTTGGAAAGATCATCCTTGAAACGTGCGAGAGCGTCTGTAATTCCATTGTGTAACTGAGTTAGGTCGAAAGGATCGCTGGAAGGTGATGTGTCGGTCTTGTCAATGTCGTTGCTTCTCTTGCCGCTCTTATCCTTCTTCTTACTTAATGGGGCAGAACTGGTGAACAATCGTGTTGCGTTTGCGACGATGACGAGCGAGTATGGATGTTCTTGAACACGGCGTTGAGAAACTTTGAGTGGATTCCACCACCTGTTATTTCGAGTGAGGGAGTGGTGACCATGAACAGGAGCAGAGCTGCGCCAGATGTTACTCCCAGCACGGGGAATGAGGCTGTTTACCCTTGATATGCAAACACGTTGTGACGGATGAGCCAACATGTTGCAGTTTTTCTCCAAATTAGCTCAAGTCCGGTCGTTGAACCTCGCTAAATACTGACTGATTTAGACTGCTCTACCGTCAAGCGAGTGAACGCAGCCAAGACTTCACTTTCACTTACCCAAATAACCTAAACTAAATACAGAAAAACAGAGTGCAATGCATTGATTACCAGCCATTTTTAATCCGCGAAAGTAGAAACTCATAATATTTCTATGTGAAAGGGGAAAATGTTGAAAGTGTCTAAACAAGTATGGATCATTTCTATAAGCTGTAACAGTGCAAATCCGTTCACCTACAGCATGTCTGCCAGCAAGCGAAGAACATAACAGAATCATCAGACAGCTAGGAAGCCTGACCTATTGCTTGAAGAATGCACATGCGGCAGAGGTCATGAATGAGAATTCATAAGATTTTTCAAAATGAGGTCAAAACCAAAGGAAACAGAAATGTTACTTTTTTGGTCACTGTTTGTCAACCGGCTTTGGATACTACCATCCTCGCGGTATACTGTCCTGCCTTCTGCCGTCAACAGCATGACAGCGAACGCGTTCAACGCGTAGCCATTGCTTTTGTGATGAGCCTCTTAAGGGCCAACTCCTTCTTCTTGAAATCATCGGGAGTCGAATCTTCAATCTCAAGCTGGGCCATCGCATCACTGAGGGCTGATTCAATCTTCTCCTTGTTTCCACGTTTCAGCTTCAATGACATAGTCGGATCTGAAATGATTTCCTCCACACGGGAAATGTAGGATTCAAGCTGTTGACGGGCTTCGAATTTCTTGCTAAAAGCCTCATCGCTCGACTTAAACTTGGCAGCGTCTGAACGTACCACCTGTTAGGGAAATTATCCTTAATTCGAAGAGTGCGGACAGGTACAAGCACATACCGCTGATCATTTTCTCGATTTCAGTGCTCGACAACTTTCCAACAGCATTGGAAATAGTGATGTTCGCACTACGACCAGACGACTTTTCGGTGGCAGTGACCTTAAGAATACCGTTGACGTCAACTTCGAAGACGACTTCCAGAACAGCTTCACCCGCCTTCATCGGGGGTATAGGAGACAAGGTGAATTCGCCGAGAAGAGTGTTGTCGTCACAGTTAGCGCGCTCACCCTGGTAGACGGGGAACTGCACAGTTTGCTGGTTGTCCACCACAGTAGTGAATGTACGCTTCTTGATGGTCGGAACAGTTTGACCACGAGGAACAACAGGGGCGAAGATATTGCCTTCCATAGCGACACCAAGCGAGAGAGGAACCACGTCCAGGAGCAAAAGATCGGAGGTTTCTGCAGACGTTGCTTTACCTGAAAGTATACCCGCCTGGACCGCAGCACCATAGGCGACGGCTTCGTCGGGATTAATGCTCTGTATCATCAGATTAGTATTATTTTATCCGCATATCTTAGTCGAAGAAGCAACGCTTACCTTTTCAAGCTTCTTCCCATCGAAGAAGTCACTGAGCAGCTTCTGAATGCGAGGAATACGAGTAGAACCTCCAACAAGAACGATCTCATCCACATTGCTCTTATCAAGACCAGCATCCTTGAGCACCTGCTGGACAGGTTCTAAGGTACCCGCAAAAGCCTTCGCATTGAGATCCTCAAACCGCGCACGGGTGATCTGGGCATTGAAGTCCTCTCCATCGAAGAGGGAGTCAATCTCCACGGTAGTCTGGGTGGCATTAGACAGAGTACGCTTTGCACGTTCACACGCCGTTCTGAGACGACGCAGGGCCCTCGAATCACCAGACAGGTCTTTTCCAGTCTTCCTCTGGAACTCCTTCTTAAAGTGTTCCAAGAGATTTGTGTCAAAGTCCTGTCCACCGAGGTGAGTGTCACCTGCTGTAGCCTTGACTGTGAAGACACCGCCCTGAATGTTCAGCAGGGAAACATCAAAAGTACCGCCTCCTAAATCGTAGATCAAGACGTTGCGCTCTTTATCGGACTTTCCAGAGCCCAGACCATAAGCAATTGCTGCTGCAGTGGGTTCGTTGATAATGCGAAGAACGTTGAGGCCAGCGATAGCACCGGCGTCCTTGGTTGCCTGGCGCTGATTGTCGTTGAAATATGCTGGCACAGTGATAACGGCTTTGGAGACCTTCTTTCCGAGTTTCGTCTCCGCAACCTCTTTCATCTACCGCGAGATGTTAGCAGGCAGAGAAATCCTGCAAAAAGAATGTACAGAAAGGAATATACCTTCATAAGAACCATGGAAGAGATCTCCTGGGGAGTGAAGATTTTGGTTTCGCCCAAATACTCAACTTCGACAACTGGGTTCCCACCCTGTTCAACAACCTTGAATGGCCATGACTCGATGTCCTTCTTGACAACAGGGTCATCAAACCGTCTCCCGATCAGACGCCTGTAACGACTATTAGAGCCAACTTTCCCTTGCACTGAAATTTTGAGACGGAAAAATGTATTACTTAATATCAAAAATGGTGTTCTTCGGGTTCATGGCAGCTTGATTCTTAGCAGCCTCACCAATGAGGCGCTCCTTGTCGGTAAAGGAGACATAAGAAGGCGTGGTGAAGTTTCCTTGCTCATTGGCGACTTAATTTTGTCAGTATCTCCATTTTGACCGAAACATTTGACAGGATATAAAGATCGGAAAACGAACTAATTTCGACATTTGTGCCGTCATAGTTGGCAACGCAAGAGTAAGTGGTACCTTTTGCAAGCGTCAGTCTTTTTTTTTTGTCGGACAGATAGAATGACGACAGAACTCACCGAGGTCAATGCCAATGGCACCATCATAGACTTCGTCGGACATGATTGAGGACTGCAAAGAGCGAGACCAAAATAAATGAATGTGTGGGTTGACGAGGGAAAATTTTCAAGGAAATAAAATCGATATGCGCAATCCAGTAAAGTCAGGCGGGGGATACCAAAGGCTTTATAGGGAAATAGAAATTTTCCTGCCGCCTTTTTATTTTTTTTTTCGTCCCTCTGGGTCTTCCGAAGTTCTGGGTGGGTGCTAGCTAGGCCACTGTTTATTTGGTCAGGGCTTGGGACGGCCACAGTAAGCTACCGAGCGAGACCCGTGGACGGTGGCGCTAACTTTGTCTGGCATCACCACCACATTTCCTACCTAAGTATCTATGGGATTTGTATATGACTTTGAAATTTAAATAAGAACTGCAAGCCTTACAGTTTCGCTTCGCTCGACTAGTTTGAACAGAAAAGACCTGGTCAATACCAAGGACTTTTTGACCCGCAAGCCTACCTACCTTTAGGTGATCCAACTTCCAGGCGCCCTCACCCAATATACGGAGTATATTCCTGACCCAATTTTCTCGCGTTAGGTGCATAGCTAATCTTGTCGTCTACTCTCCTGGCGGGCCTCCTCCTTATATTCCATGCATATACTGCCCATATTCTTTGCCATAATTCTTTCCATCTCACGTACTTATATGCGGTATGCTTACCTTTTTTTTTTTTGCAAAAAGCATGGGACAGTAGT